CAGCTAATGAAAAATGGGCAATTGTTAACACCAGTTCTTGGGCAGGATCTACAAAATGGCGATGTAAAGGAAAGTCCCAGCTGCCACCTTTCCAGGATGAGTCCTCCTATCTTGCTGATTTCCTTGTCATATTAAGTGATCCTAGTGACCGCATAAATGCAGATGGGAGACATGAAGGCAAACAGTACCATGCAGAGTATTTATCCCTGTGATCAGGTTCGCCTCCAGCTTAGCTTGAAGGCCAACCTGAATATGACCTACATGGCTAAGATTCCTTGAAGAGCTGCAGCACTTCATGTTAAGGAGTACCAAATCTGGTAGCTCAGTAGAAATGCTTCCATAGTTCCATGCGCCCAGATTGAACCAGTAGAAAGGCTTAAGGCTCAGAATGTATTCCAAGTAAGCAGACACACACACACGTACACAAGCAAACCACACAGCTCAACACAGGCAGGCACACTCAGCACCCATATGAAAACAAAAGAGTACTAAGGCCGTCATATGGGGACCAACTTTTTAGCAGGGCCTGTTGCAATAGGACAAGGGGTAACGGCTTTAAACTAAAAGAGGGAAGATTTAGACTAGATATAAGGAAGAAACGTCTTATGGTGAGGATGGTGAGACACGGGCCCATGTTGCCCAGAGAGGTGGTAGATGCCCCATCACTGGAAACATTCAAGGTCAGGTTGGCCGGGGCTCTGAGCAACCAGATCTAGTTGAAGATGTCCCTGCTTATGGCAGGGGGGTTGCACTAGGTGGCCTTTAAAGATCCCTTCCAACCCAAACTATTCTCTGATTCTATGATCCTGTTTCTCTCTGGCTCATCAGAAGGTCATTTAGTGGGAAATATATGTATACATGTATACCATGTGGACCTTGGAGCTTGGCTTAGACAGTCTACCCAGTAACTGACCTTTGGATCCACGAGCAGACATGAATACCCCAGATGTATGGGCTCTCTTACCCAAGGTGACACTCCAGTTGCTGGCACCTAGACCTCCATACATATGGATTTACACAGAATAGAGAGTTTCTCATGCTGGGAAATAAGCAGAAATGGCATTTAACAGGAAGATAGGAGACACTGCAATTATTAGGCTCAGGGCATGATCAGACAAGTTTACTAACCATCCACCTCTTCACGTGTGACCAGTCCTTTTTATCCCTTTATTCCTCTGTTTTGCCACATTTGTTCCTCCCCAAATCTCTTTCCCCACCTTTGGTTCCTCCCCTAAACATCCCATACTAAGCCTTGAGCAATCCCAACATGTTTTTACCCTGCCAATCCCACTAACTCATCTTGATGGGTCTCACATCTAGACAATGGCACTGAGGCACTGAGGCCTAGGGTGTCTGTTCCTCTCAATACATAATTTTGGGTTCCCCCACCTGCCATTGTGCCTCTATGCTCCTCTGGGCTTGTGGAGATGGCCCATTGGCTGGCCACTCTCCTGTGACGGTCCTGGGACTAGATGTTCTGTGCTTGCCATTGTCTCTTTGTGTTCTTTTGTGTGTGTGCAGCTTGTGATTTTACCACATAACCTAACACCTTCCATTCTTCCTGTTGCGTCCCAGTGGCCAATCCTTCAATGCCTGCTTGGAGGAAGGGGAAAACCACAAAATCCCAGAAGGTGGACAAAGCTGTCCGGTCTGCTCTTGGTGGAGGTTTTCTGGGAGCATGTAGCCAAGGGACAGATGGAAGAAGGTCTCATAAAGAATCAACAGTCAGCCTAAGGAGATGAAGAGCTCCCTGTAAGGTAGTCTGGTGCCTGGAGGTGAGAAATGAAGATCCTCCACTGAAGCCAGGCATGTGCATCCTAATGCAGACTCCTGACTGAATGAAAAGGACTATACAGGCTGCGGAAGGGGGTGGGACACTGGAAGGCCACATGCCTGGGTTCCCTGGGGAGAGTAATGAGGTGCCTCTGAGTTAGAATGTGGAGAAGGCTGTCACCTAGCAAGTGCAGACACGCAGGCTGAGCTGCAGCACCTGAAAAAGTTCTTAGGTAGCTTGTCTGGGAACGCAGGCCTAAGATGTGAGCTCAAGGGAGTAAGTCATGAATACGACCCACGTTTTAGATGGAACACTTTCCTGTGTGTTGTGTCCACATAAGGAGCATTTCTATGCACCAATATGTGTCTTGGCAGGAAGCCAACAGCTGTATAATGAGGTTGTGAGAGGGTACGTAACTAGGACTAGCACAGTCCTAAGCATGACTTCGCAGTATTCAGTTTACAAGTGGTACTTGTCTGCAGAGATATAGAACATTTGCCATCACACAGAATGACCCACATTGTGTCACCCACAGTTGAGTAGTACAGTCACATGAACCCCTCTGTCACCTTTGCTACGCCTCAGATGTAAGAGTGGGCTGGCAGAACAAAGCTGTGAGTTCTTGGGGATGGGGGGCATTTCTCACCTGAAATAACTTCTTGGACAACAGTTCATGGTGATGTGCTCAACTGCTACAGTGTGGGGAGGGGACAGGTTTGTTGTCCCATTTTCTTTTAAAAGCAGTATGTTTTAAAGTAAGATTAGTGCAGTACCAAAATTAGGGCATGGGCATAGCTTTCTAGCTCTCTCTTCTACCCCTTATGCTCTCACTTCTCTTTCCTTCATGGTAAACCTCTCCTGCCATACCTACTTTAGAGTTACGCTGTCTTTGTTAGCATGGCTGACTGCAAAGACTATGTTGCATGGCTTTGTCAAAAATTTCTCATCCTTGATAAGTAGTCCTCGTTCACCACAGTTCTCTGGCCATCAAACCCAAGCATGTTGATCCACTGGAAGAGTTCTTTTCTACTCAAACCTTTCCAATTTGGGCTGTTGCACCCTTACTTCACCCCAGGGCTCTATAGTCATTATAGAAACACTTCGGCCATTATCATTGGTGCCCACATCGAAAAGCAGCACAGCGCAATACTCCAAAGGTAGGACAAGCCTGGCAGTCCCTCTGAAACATATTGCATCTGCCCTTTGGCAATCAAGAAACCTCCCAAGACACCAAGTCGGGTTGGCAGACTGGTGCTTAAGATTTCTAAGATAGGGAGTCTCCTAAAGATGTCACAGGTCTTCTCTTCTTCATGAAGGAAAAATGATTTGAGCACAGCTCCCTCTGATGAATTCCCTTATGCATCTTCTTGTCCTGAACAGTTCCCAGGTGACAGCACCTGTTCTGAAGTTAAAGTGTGCAGGTGGAGCAGAAGTCTTTTTTCTATTGCCAGAAGTCACCAGCTTCCAGCCTTCCCCACCTTGACTGCCTCCCTCTGCTACCTGGTTGGCCATGGTCACCATCTCTCCTGCCTTCCTTGCTCTGTGTAGTTTAAACTCTTGTCTCCCCAGAGACAGGTGCCACCAACACAGCACTGGAAGGAAAGCCATTCAAGGTTTCTCTGCACAAGGTGGGCTGGATTTCCCAATGATTGTCCCTGGACACAAAGCTGATGTTCTTTTGATCTCCTTAAAAATAAAGAGAGGACAAGTAACGTAGCCTGAGGGCACAGACAGTGCTGAGGAACCCCAACCATTGGTATGTTGCGTTACACAGAATTTCCAAACTGGAGTGAAACAGTCCTTTTTGGTCTCTGAAGTCTGCAGTAGCAGAACACGATCTTTTGAAGGTCAGGAGACAAAGGGCACAACAAACAGTCTGCTTCTCAATGCCTGCATCTGGGGCATGTCTCCACCTGGGAGCTGTCACTGCTCTGCTGAAGTTAGGCCCTTTCTGGCCTGGGGAACCTGCATCTCTGTGGTGCTCATGGACAGAGAAGCAGAAAGGGCCTCTGCCATGACCACAACATCTGGTGATGAGAGTCAGCTATATACAAACAGACGTGTTCATGCTCACCTGCATGGAATTGCATGCAAATTTGTCCACACCTTGCATTCAAAGAAATCTATCATACATATAAGTGCACCCATCAAGCAAGAATGCCTACACATGACCACCTATGGATTTAATTAGGCACAACCTTGGCAGGCTTGAGCACCCCAGGGAACCTCAAGGCTCATAATATGGATTGGCTGGAAATCCCCAGACATGGCTTAGGGAGGGGAGGAAGCCAAACAGCCTGGTAAATCTCTCCCGAGGTTGGTGATAGAAGGAGAAATGTTGAAACTCAGCAGTGCAGTCCACCTGCCTGAGAAGACAAACACCAGTAACAATCAGCAAGGGCTGGGAGGGAGAGAGGGAAAAGGACATGGCATGTCCTTACGTAGGGTCAAGGATTGCAGGGCCAAGAGAAGCTTGGTCTTTCCTGCCAATGAGGCTGAAAAGAACCCCTCAGGAGTGCTCCAGGCCAGTGTCCCTACACTCTACGGGATCCCTCCAGCAATTGGGTTGAGTGTTCTGTCCGCAATGACATGTTACTGCCCCAGAAATTTTAGGAAATCTCATTTCAATGTTCAAAACAAATATCCATGATGGAATGAACATGGCAAAAACAAGGAAATGAAAAGGCACCAGGAAACTAAAATACAGCCTGTATCATTAGCTGGGATTTAATACATTTCAGAACAGCTTGTCAGAAAATTATTAACTCTGCTAGGGCTACCTCTGTGCCTGGGGCAGCGCAGGACCAATATAAAAGCCAATGCAGGTCCCGGGTCTCTTATCCACTTCACTCTTCTTCTCCTTGAGAACCAGGTGAGTCCGAAGCCCCTTCTGCTTCTCCTACTCGTACATGATGAAGCCATGTCTCAACAGACATGTCAGATAATATCTGCTCTTTCCTATGCTAGGGCTTCGGGCTGCCTGTCCTGGGAGGGGAAACAGGGAGAAGGTCTGGTGTGGAGAGGGGCTGAGCCTGGGCTGAGGGGACTCTTGGCCTCTTGGCTAGGAAAGAGCTTTCCTGGGCCTGGCTGTCTCTGCACGGTGCCCGGGGGGTCAGGCAAAGGGGCGTGTGGGTCTCATTGCACAGCCTCCAGCTCCCTGCCCAACACCAGCCTTAGCTATCTGGTGGTGGGCAGACAGGCTGCTCCTCATGTGTCCCCATGCTCCTCACCATCTTTATCCTCTCTGCCAGGTGCACCTCCAGCTCCACAAGATGTCCTGCTACAACCAGTGCCAGCCCTGTCTGCCCTGCCAGCCCTGCTGCCCGACCCCGCTGGCCAACAGCTGCAATGAGCCCTGTGTCAGGCAGTGCCAGAACTCCGTCGTCGTCATCGAGCCCTCCCCCGTGGTGGTGACCCTGCCCGGACCCATCCTCAGCTCCTTCCCGCAGAACACCGTTGTGGGCTCCTCCCCCTCCGCTGCCGTTGGCAGCATCCTCAGCTGTCAGGGAGTGCCCATCAACTCTTCCTGCTGTGACCTCTCCTGCATTTCCAGCCGCTACTGTGGCAGGAGGTGCAACCCCTGCTAAAGCCACTGATGACTTCACACAGAAGGACCCCGAGGAATCTAGAAGATTATGCTGGTCTGAGGATAGAGCGTTGGGTCATCACTTTCAGAGGGACTGAGCATCCATGGCTCCACCTGCAAAGGAAAGCAGGAAGAAGCGTTCCTGGGCTCTCTGAAAACTTGGCCTATGTATAACTTGGCTGCTTCTCACTTTTTTTCTCTCTGTTTTTCCTCTTGTCTTCTGGTCCCTAGGGCCATGGGTTTTTCCAAAGCCAGCCCTGGAGCGGTCTGCTACACCACTGCCTTTGCAGTGGTAGGCAGTTGGACACCTTTTGGGAACTCCACCCTGGCCTCAGGGCACAGGCTCTTGGATGATCTGGCGCTCTCTGCATCAGATCTTCTACTCGTTTACCTCATTTCCCCTCTTTTAAATCATTAAAATTCTGCTGCATACCAACCTGAGCCTCTGTGTCATCCTTCTCTCTCAGGATGTTCTCACAAGCTACTAAGAGACAAAAGCATTGCTCTAGTAAAATCAACATGACGTAAGGACACATGGGCAACCTTCACTATTCTGAGAGGAAGGAGGGGTTGGGGCACACTGCCCTGGGAAGCTTTGTGCCTTGCATCTGAGAAAGACATTGCCAGCTGCCAAATGACAGTGGCCACCAGGGACTGCCTTGATGCATCTCTGCCTAGAAATGCCTCCTCAGGCTTGGAGTATGTCCTGCAGATGGGAAGCCTGCCTTCTGCTGACCTCAAGAGGGGAGCTGGGGGACTGCAGGAGGTGATACAAGCTGTTGGGGAAGACAGTCCCTCCTGCTCTGAGTGGAGCTGTGTTGGAGGAGTAGGCTCAGACAGAAGATTGCCCTGAAGGATAGCTTCAGAAACAGCCTCCAAGTAGGAGCATGGCCAGCTCCCATGGGCACAGATAGTAGGGACAAGACCCCCATGCAACACCATGATTACTTGGTGCAGCAACTGGTTTCACCCAGCTGTTGCACAGACAGGCAGAGCTGAGGTGATTGACAAGTTAGTTTTGGCCAGGCCACAGTAAACCATACATTCAAGTCCCATTTCCACCTGAAACCAACATCCCTATGGGTCAGGTCAGATCCAGGACCATAAACAGCTCCCAAACTCCCACTGCTGCTCTGTGGTACCTGATGTTCCCCAAGTACAGAGTAGCTTTCCTTGGGAACAGGCCCTCTAAGGCTTCATCAGTGCCAGGATTCAGTTCTGATGCTGAAAGGCTCTGTGTGACAATAGTTCCCCCTACCTTGCCTTGAGATGCGGTAGTTACAGTGGGACGTGCTTCTGCACGCAGCAGCATTTGTGAGCTGTCTCTTCTGGGCAGCTCTATGTTCAAAAGTGGTCTCACTAGCTTTGACTGTTGTTCTTGGGCACTGGTTGAAACAACAATCCCAGCACATCAGAGTAATTGAGTTGGAGGAGTCTCAGAGGGAAGACTGTAGCTATCCAGGTATGGGGCTGTGGAAATCAACTTACCCCAGGTAGGAAGTTGAAACAAAGCCAGAAGGTCTTTTCCGCTGCACGGAGATCCCCCATCTACATCTTGGCCTATCTTGTGGACAGCACGTAGTCTCTCACTGCCCAAGAGCAAAGAGGTAATGACCCTCTCTGGGGCACAAAGTTGCCAGTGGTTCCCATTCTGCTGTGTCCTTCCTATCTACTCTTTTTCAAAACTGTGCCTTTCATTGGCAAAGCAATGCCTCCCTCCAAAGCACATTCCAGTCCAAGGGCAGGAGTGGATGCTAGAGGTGAGCCTGCAGATGTGCATGTCCAGTGTCTCCTGTCTGTCCACACCACCAGGAAGTCAACCTGTGGTCAGGGGCTGCAGGCTGAGTCCAAGCATTACCCACAAGTGTTCTATTCAGCTAATTCAGAAGAGTTATCATGGCCAGCATTAGACGGTTTCTCTCTGAATTTGAATTTAACAGATTGGGATTAGCTTAACTATTACATTAGTGATTCAACGCCCAGAAATCAAACCCACAAGCCCCCAGGTCCTAAGGCACTAGACAGCCATCCCATAACCTTTGTGAGTTGTGGTCTACAGTCTTTGAAAACCCAAAATATACGTTCACTACAAACCCATGCAGGAATTCCCAACCTTGCAACCTTACTCTACAGTTTATTGTCAGCGCCGAGCTGATGGCAACAGGGTATGGCATTGTGAGGGCATCATATAAAGTGGAGCTTTCCAGTGTCCCACGACCCTCTGACTCCACACAGATTACACAACAGATTCAAGCAATTGGCTCACTTCTGTTGTTCATGATCACGTCACTGCATTTGGCTCATTTCTGTTGTTAATGTCCACTGAGTTTGTGGTAAGGTCATATGGCTTCACAATTAATGCCCACATCTAGGTATTTTTTCCTATGATACCTGACAATTTCTTTCTCGACTTCCCCCCTCATCTCAAGGTAATGATTAAAATTCTGGCAGCCCTGAAGCATCCACGATCCCATGGGTGCAGACAAGGAACTCCTGAAGACACTGTTGTGTTTGACATAGGGGTTCAAGCACACTAGGGCCCATTGGACCAGGTGGGATTCCCCTTACACCATGTCCATTGCTCTGCTACTGGGTACCCTCTTGCCCTTGAGTCAAAGAGACTGTGACCTGTGGATGAGTCCGCATGGGAGCAGGACACCCTGAAGTATCTGTGGCTGTGGTTACACGAGTGCCACAGCAGGTATAATTCTGAAGGGATCATGGTCCAAGGATAAGTCCATGCCGCAGCAGATACACCTTGAAGCTCAAGTGGCTGTGTATGAGGCCATGCTGGAAAACCTCAAAGCATCTGTGGCCACGGATAAGTCTATGCCACAGCAAGTATACACCTGAAGAGCCTGTGGCTCATAGATGAGACCACACTGCAGCAGGTACAACCCTACAGGACTGTGGTCTTTGGATAAGTCCACACCAAAGTAGGGGCAAGGGGAGGAATTCATTCCAGTGTTAAACTCTATCATGTAGACCAAAGGGACAGGGGAGACATTGTAACAGGTATACCTTGAAATTGTTGTAACCCATGATTTGACTTATAGGAACATTACAGGAAGTACTACAGCAGGAACCACTCAAACCGACTAAGGACAAACCTCACAAGAAGCAGTGCAAGTGCAGCTGTGATGCAACTTGTGCTGGCTTCAGTTTCCAGTAATTCCATGCAACATACCACATTTCCTGTCCTAAGTGACCACCGTAACAGAAGGAGCCCAAAGTCATGAACTAAATGAACTCAAATGACATTTATGGAAATTTTACAGACATTATACAGGGGTGGTCCATTGAGGAAGGGAATTATATCTGTGTGTATATAAAAGGATGAGAAGAGTGGGTGGTGATTCATGAGGATGTATTAGATAGTGGTGGACCTGAGCATGATGTAAATGGTATGGAATAAGAGGTGGAGTATGTACTGGTTTTGCCTGGGATAGAGTTAGGTTTCTTCACAGCATCTGGTATAAGGCTATGTTTTCAATTTGTGCTGAAAAGAGTGTTGAAAATAGAGAGATGCTTTAGTTGTTGCTGAGCAGGGCTTACCCAGCGTCAACACCTTTTCTGCTCCTTGGACTGCCCCACCACCGAGCAGGCTGGGGGTGTGCAAGAAGCTGACCCCAACTGACCAAGGGATATTCCATACAGTGTAACTTTGTGCTCCACAATAAAACCTGGGGGGGTGAGGTTGGTGGGGGCTGCCACTGCTTGGGCAATGGCTTAGCATCCGACACTTCGTAGTGGTGAACAATTGTTTTCTTTTGCATCACTTTTCTTACTTTTATTTTCCTTTGGGTTTTGTTGTTGTTTTTTCTTCTTATTTTCTTGCATTTTTTCTTTAATTATTAAAGTGTCTTCAAGTCCACACAGGATTTTTTTCACTTTTACCCTTCTGATTCTCCCCCTCATCCCACTTGAGGGCAGTGATTGAGGGCCTGCATGGTGCTTAGTTGCATGACGGGGTTAAACGACAACAACAACAGTGTGTCGGTGAGTGAGTCAAGGTGAGGATGAGGTCTCATGACAATAATCAGCGGTAAACAACATGCAGAGATCACCAGGTGCATTAACAGAAACAAGGCAGGTCTCGGGTCAAGATGGGAACTCACCCTCAAGTCAGGGTCCAAACTGAGATCCATGGGCTCCATGTACAGACACAGGCACAGATGTGTCACCACTTGCAGATGTAACTCAGGTGGGGGCCAAGCACTAGAACTTAGGTTTAAAAGCTGCTCCCAGGTGCAGGAGAGTTGGCCCTGGCTGAAGCCTCCCACCAGCACCATCTGGGAACGCTCTCAGCAAAGTCAGCAAAAGCAAGTGGGCAGCCCTTCAGCTATGCTACGTCTCAGTGGGGTCTGTCCAACTCTCCTACATCTCAGAGCAGAGCCACAACTAGATCCCGGTCCCTTTAGTCCAATACCCCTCTGGTGTGAGGTCTCAGCCCCTGCCTCCCTCAGCACCAGGCTGATGAGCTGAAGTGCAGCTGGCATTGTCAGGGACATGAGGAGCCCGTGTCCCATCCCAGTCCCCAGCAACACTGCATCATCAGGGGATCGATTCAGGGCCAATGGCCTGCACAGCCATGCAGGCATTCTTGGCCTTTCTCCTTGTATGTTAAGCAAGAAATGGGGGGCACCAGAGGCAGAGACTGCATTTCAGGTCTCAGGGCACCTCTCTGCCAGGCCAAAGGCACCACCATTCAGCTGCAGATGATGTTTCCCTGGCAAGGGCAACCTGCTACTCTGCGGAGCTCAAGGACACACCAGGGGAGAGTTCCCCTGCTACAACCTGCACATGCCTTCATGGTGAGGTCCACACAAGTGCAGACTGACACATGTGTGCTCATGCACACCTGCATTGAACCATGCAAAAATCTGTAGGGCCACAGCAACTCCAGACTCTGGTCAGGAGATGCTGGGGACCACATTGTCAGAACAGGATTCAAGTTCCCCGGTGAACAGCCGGGCCGCAGAGACTGCACAGAGAGGGGAT